AAATGCATAAATACCTACAGAATTTAGGTGCTTTTTTGGATTTGGGATGCCTGAAGATCTACATTTTGAACTGTATAGAGATCTAACAATCCATGTCTCCATGTGATACGGCAAATTGTAACTGACTCCTTTGGCCTGAATCTTGGGCATAATTTGACCACCCAAATGCTTCTTTAGACTTTAGGCAGAATCCTTCACAGTCCCTCCTAATGCTTCCCAGGACCCTCCTGCCCTCTATACCTTTAGGATCAGTTAATAAATGTAGATATCTAGATACTGCATATTTACACAGGACTGTCTGCAGGTCTAACCTGAATTGGATGCAAGCTGGCCTGATTCTTAGATACATCATCTGAAGTCACTAACACCCACCACAAAAAAATAAAGGAGTTTAATGGTAATTTATGGAATCTATATAATTATAGTATTTTGTTGATACTGCTAAAATAAAATGTTTCAATAAAGACTAGATCTAAAGACACGGTGCTTACATGTCATGGATCCTTAGGCAGCATAAAAGAGCGTAAGTCACCCTGTTGAAGTGGTAAGGAGAATACTATTTACATTATACCTTTTTGTGTCTTCCAAGATTTTTCTTTGTGTAACCTCATGTTACACTGATAACATCAGCAATAAATTGACACATTTTTACACTGTCATAAAAATACATAATTCGTTTGCAAGCAAATAACCGAATTGCATCCCTATTCATTAAGACAAATATAAAATATAGTTAGATTGTACATTAGGCCTGTCAAATTGCAGAACATAAAAGGTAGGATGGGTGTCAACAGGAAAAAGATGCGTTATGGACATCTGGAAGAAACAAGGCTGAGAGAGGGAACAGGGCTTGTCCTATACTAGCTTAGTATGAAGGTATCCACCCACGATTATTGCTCAACCACAAAATCGTGATTCCAGTAGGTACTTCTGAGCCATCCTGAGGGATTCAGTTCACTCTGAATTCCCTCAGTTTTCCCCTGGAAGCGTTGAAGACTAGTAAAGAGAAACCAGGACTTCCAGTATCACCGTCCATGGCACAATATCCACTTGTGAAACTCCTACCTCCTGAACGTGAACCACATGCTTTGAAAAATTAAATGTTCTGACAGGTTCCTAAATGCTACTGCTTTTTAAACTAAATGTGCCTCCACAGTGCTGCGTGGAAGGTGAAGAAAGCTTCTAGACTTCTGTCAGTTCTGTCCAAAGAGAAAAATTCAGCCTTATACAGTAAGTCATTCTCACAGCATCCTAATGCACAAATCCTTTGCTACAACAACTCCCTTCCCTGCTCAAGGAGGACAAGATTGCTAAAAGAGACAAGAAACTTAAAAAGCCCAGAGAGCAAGTACTAGTTAGCAGAAGAAAAGAGAAGAGCCAGTCAAGTCCTGAATATTTCCAAGCTGACTGTCAGGACATCATGTCATGGACCTCAGTTTCTTGATCTATGGTCACCACTTTCTCCCTGACTTATCCCCCTGTAAGCTTAACTTCTCTAGAGAATGAAGTATGGGTGGAGCATTTATTTTTTCATGTAAAGCAGATAATAAATATTTATTCACAGAAAAGATAGTTTAACTTTTTTTTAAGTAAACACTAACTATCACTAACTATGCTTAAAGTCAAGAAATCTTAATTTTCTTGAACCACGTACTTACTTAGAGACTCCTTCAGTAGTTGAATGTCGCAATGTTTATTGCAGAGGTAGGTATCTCAAACAGGTCATGGCCAGCTAGAAGATTCCTTGGCTGGTGGAGTTTGAGCTGTTCATCTACCTTTCTGTTTTTCTAGATCCCTCTCTAAGGATTACCTTGATCTCAGCTTGCTCAGCAGACCTTTATTTCCACATTGCTACTGTCATGTTGTAGAAGGAGTATAATCATCTAGTATGCAGTGAGATCGGAAGAGTTTAGTGTTAAAAAGCTAGTGTTCGAGTAAAAATATAATAAAGATTTCTTTTGCTTTCATTTCACAGTGAGTGTCTATACAACAACTTTGAGATCTCAATTTTAAAACACATTTCAGTTTCTCTTCTGTAGAATGGGAATTACTGTACTTTCCCACTTCCTAAGCTGAGGTTAAATTCATCAATATTTACAAAACTCTAAGATCCTCAGCTGGAAAGAGACATAGAATTAAAAGTGTATAAACAAACATGAGCAAAAACCTGGAATAACAACTTTGTGTTTTGACACTAGAGTTTACAAGTTGCATTCAGTTTGTCTTCGCCAGCATTGTGAAATACCTTCTTTTGACAGAGATACTCCCTGTGTAGTCTACCCATTCTCCTATAGCACTTTTACAATGCAGCATTTTAGAAAACATAGGAGACTTCAAAGGCATTTTTAGGGCCAAAATAGCAAAAAGCTTTTTCCAGGTCAGGAGACAGGAATTGTGTAATACACCACAAAAACCTCCTGAAATTACAGGTACTAAGAAGGAAAATCCACTACCAGTCCAAAGCTCTTTCCCACTGAGGAGTTATTTTAGTAATATTTAGTGTGTTTGAAAAGCACTACATGAAAAGCAGTCAGTTCACTTTGCATGAGCTCAATGCTTTTGATATGTTTATTGAAGTTCAGCTGTTGTGGTTCAATGAGATTTCCAAGCACACCTCAGTCTCTTAAATCCTGGTGAGGAGTTCTCAGCTTGATGGGAATTCCAAGCTTTATTTAAGGAATGTGTTACTATTGTTTCCCAAGAGATAGGACTAGCAATTACTTCTGCTTAGGAAGCAGCTCCAAAACTTGGACTTCAGGCACTGATTAAGTATTTTAGTGATGAAAAAGATATGCTGCAATACAGTCTTTCTGTACCTCTGCAACAGTCCCTGTCAGATCTTCTACAGAAGCATCACACTGGCAGATCGTTTTTCAAGGAACATTCTCTCCTGACTTCTGAAGCAGAAATCAAACCACATTTTTTTCTGTAGCAAAAGAGGAGCATAGAAGAATATGTATCATAAGCTATCTATTTTTGATCTTCAGATATTTCCTGGTCTTTGACCTAAAAATACTCCTTGCCACAGTGTAGAAGTGAAGAGGGGTTTTCACTCATGGTTGTTATTAGCTGTTACAATTATTAGAAAATACCGGGAAGTCTTGTGGATAGACATCTGCAGGACAATGGTGACATCTTCACTGTTACAGGTGCCTCAGTGGAGTGATAGTCCTGTGAGGATATGCCCCCAAAATTCAGTTCAAGAACCCTGTAACTAGTGTCATTTTAAGATAACCCTTGATATGCTCTAAAGGTCACAAGAAAAGATCTTGCTGAAAATTAAAGGCTTGTTTTTGAGATTTCTTAAAAGGGAGGGGAGGAAGAATTGAAGGCTGAAAATGCCCTTAGAACTGCACTTTACCAGAAATTGAGGCAATCATTAGCTCTCTCAGCTCCAGGCCTAGCTGAGCTACAAATACACTAGCTTCCCTGCCAGAGAGTTACATCACGACCACAGAAGTTAAATAAAACCTTTTCCATTCTGTAATTTAAAAACAGCTTAATAGAGAAGATTTCGTATTAACAGGGTGGTTTCTTCCCCATAGCAGCGACGAACATGGAAAAATTGACCTGTGCCCAGTTTAGTCTTGACTTGCCCATTCCAGACTCTTCTAAAGAGATCGTTTCACAGGCACTAAGCTGTGACCCTTCAAATGAGTTCATTTTGATTCCTTAAATAGACAGGTGTCCACAGAGCACACGAGTTGTCTCTTCTTGTCTGGTTTCTCAGAAGAACTTATCATTGAATGAAGCCTGAACTGCACTCAGTCTACAAGGACAGCAAGATGTGTTTTCAGTAGAACTGATTCAAAGAAAACGAATCACAAGAATATCAACTTGGGGACTTTCCCTAAAAAAAAAAAAAAAAAAAAAAAAAAAATTGCAAACCTTTGAACCAGCTTTAATTTTAAAGCCCACCCTAGAGAGTGGTCTGATCTTGTGGCCCATGTAGTATGATCCCATAGAATAAAATCACTGAAATAGAGGGGCAAGATTGGGAAGGATGTACAAAAATCACAGGAAGAGTCTGCAGTGAGTTGTCATGCTTTTGTACATTTTTCTCTGTATTGATCACTGCTACCTTGGTCTTTTTATTGTTATTAATTTGACTTTGAGACATATGCCTTTATGGGTCTCAGGTTCCATGTCAGACCCATCTTCTGATTATTCCTCCGCTTGTCCCTTGCGTAACACACCCATCTATCTGCACACTCTGCGTCTTACTGTCAGACACTTAAATGAAGGGGATTAAGAACTGAGTCACAAAACACAACTTGAGAAAGATGAAAAAAGGTAGCGTGGGGTAGGAGAAAATCAAGTCCTCATTGTAGCATACCTGTCTGTCCTGGAAATCCTCTGGTTTACAGGTAGCTTTTTGTCTTGCAGCAAGATCCACAGCCTCTCTGACTTCTCTTGCAAGGAGAGGACAGAAGTACCCAGGTGTCCTGACCTGCTTTGTCTGTGCTAGCACCTCTCCTGCCTTCACTTGGCATGACAGCCTTCGGTTCTCTCTGAGGGTTACTGTGCAGTTTCCGATTAAGACTTATGGCAATAACTGATTTTTGTCGGAATTTAATGGCTGCCAACACTAATAGTGAAGGGAATTTTGCCTTCTCAGATGATGCACTCGCATGCCCTTTTCATAAATAGGTGGTTAGTCAGCCAGATAGGGTAAGAGCAGTCCACCCAACACAACTCGTTAGTTCTCAGCCCCTTGCAATTTTTATTCCATCATTTCAGAGTGCAACTACCGAGGAAAGACTGAACTACGCAGCCACCTGTGCACTGCGGTATGAACACCACAGC